ATATTTTCACTAATATAGAGATACTAAAGCAAGAGATAAAGGGATATGATCTAGCACAATTAGGAACGCTATGGGGATAATAGCCAAAATATGGAAAAGTTTCACCCAGACCATTGAAAGGTAAAGAAAAATAGACGCCCCTGAACTATTCTGTTGTAGAGAAATGTTATTGATTTTTTGAGACATATAATATTAAGAGACTTATTATTCAAGGAAAGGTAGAGGGCCGAAAATCATTAAGATCATAAAAAAATGGATTGACCATATCACAGGAATCTGTAGATTCTGAACACCATTGCTAAAATTAATAAAAATGGCCCGAAATATAAATATATGGAGATGATATCCATATAAGACAAGACGACGACCACTATACTTCTTCCCGTTGGTCAGAACTGAAAAGAGTGGGAGAGAGAGGAGAAGAGAAAGAAAGATAGAATATAGTTACACAACTACTGCTTACATTATTTATTTTAAACTATATATCTTACTAATTTAAAACAAAAACAATACAAAATATCAAAAACAAGTAATAAACTAAAGGAAAAATGTTAGAACTCAAATTACACATTATTGATCTTAGCAGGTCAACTGGTATGATTTCCCATTCCAAAGCATTTTAAATACATTTATAAACATGCAGTACTATAAAAATATATTTTGGGACGTAGTTCTTAATAAAATCGTAGGATTTAATCAAATATTTTAAATGTGTATCTATATATTACCCTATATAAATAATAGTTTTCTTTAAGCTTTATGAAAAAGTGTATGTTTTCTACTGTACTAGTGATTGTTCTGAAGTACTAGGAAGTTTCTTAGTCCTTAAGTATTTCGATATCAGCATCATCATCAGCTTAGATTGAATAACGAAAGATCACCTTAGAATTTTCATGTTATCTGAATTTTTTCTGTTATCAATCTTGTAGTTGTTATAGGTCTATATTTGTATTAAACAAATCTTTTAGTCAACTTATTCCTGTCGCTTCTTAACATTTTCGCACTAATATAATGTGGTTCAAAACCATTATCTAGATTTTTTTGGATGGTACTCAAGTAAATTCGTCGTTTGTTATTTTGTTCAGCGTTGCTATTACTGTTTCATCTATTTCTGCTTACTGTCTATCAAACTCCTTCGTTTAATATAAAAGATAAAATATTTTTTTAGTATAAAACGAAGCTTTTGACAGAATTAGTCGTTTATTAACATTTAGTCATTAGTTATAGTTATAGTTAGTATAGAATAAACTATATGGTAAAATAATGAAAATACTTGCTGGATTCAACTTATTAGTTTAAATTGAAAATAATGTTTTTCATTTTCAGGTTTATAAATCGCCCATATCATCCGGAAAACTTATTTTTAAGAGCGACCAATAAAGTTTTGTTGAATTTTTGTTTATTTTTGTTTTAAATGATGAATAAAAATTTAGAATATACACATTTTTAGTTTTATTATATATGAGTATAAGTAAATAATTAAGAATGTCACGTAAGGCTTTTATGTCCTGGAAACCAGTTTTATGTAACAGAAACCTGTCAAAACATATTCGCCAGAAAGTTCTGAAATGTTATATATGATCTATCCTATTATATGGTTGCGAGACGTGAACATTAAAAAATTTCAATGCTGCAAATATAATCATTCGAATTGTGCTGCTATCGACGGATCCTAAAATATCATGGGTTTCACACACTTCCAATGAAGATATTCTTAACAAGATGAATTCAAAACGCTTGCTGACAAACATCATAAAGAGAAGAAAAACAGAATACTTCGGCTACATAATTAGACGACCCAATTACTGCGATTTAAAGGAAAAGTGAAAGGCAAGATATGGATTGGTGGAAAGAAACTTTCATAGCTACGTAATATAAGGAAATGGCGGTATGGTACCACAGTAAAAGAATTATTTCGCACCTAAAAAAGACCATTTTTAATACAGATTTCAGTCCTCTACAAATAGTTTGGTATGACATTTGCTGTAAAATAATTAGGGAAGCATTAATTCAAAAATTTAAAATTTCCCATTGAGTTTCCTAGTGCCCATTTAATGATTCACCATCCGGTATATATAAACCTAGTTGAAATATTAAAATACACAATTAAATTATAAAAATACAATACTGTTTTGGATAGCAATATAAGGTGCGGTTTTTAATAAAATAAAAATGTTATCAATCATCAGTATCGATTAGTTGTAATAAGCATACGAAACGTAAGGATAAAGATAATATAAGACCTACATCTTATCAGCTTTATCTCATTGAAGTACATGCCATTTGTTTATAATATCGACTGAATTTTTGCGATATAAAGTATGAGTGTATATTAGTGAAACTTTTGGTGAAATTAAAAGTAAGTTTAATATTTTATTCATCTAACAGAGTCATCAGAGTTGTTTTTACCAGTTTATAATAATAAATTATCTAATATTTAGTGGTTAAGACGAAGTGCACATGTGCTATTTCAGAAAAACTGATATCGTGCATTTTCAATCAAATTTATTCAAACGAAACTTTCATTTGCAATAACTGTCAAACCACTGTCAAGATAGAGAATACAAGAACAATTTGCCTACTTAAATAATAGGTAAACTTGGTATTTGTGAAAATTAATATTGTATTATTTTACCTCGTCATTTAAAATAGTGGTTGTACCTTTTAAATTAAGAGGTGAAAAATAGGTATTTCATTCCAGTGACGTACCATTTTTATTCATATGTTATATTACACAATAGTTGGGGGAAAAGGTTGGAACATCTATAAAAATCAAGAAAAAAATAGTTTCGATGTTTCAGTTTTATTGGTCATGAAATGCTAATACATAATATAAATTTTCTTAAAAAAGTTTTAAATCGTTTTGGAGTAATATCGTAAATTTTTGTGAATGCACTTTTGCATGTATGTAAATTAGGCCAAATCGACTTATTTTTATCCCTAAAAATAACGGTATAATTGATGACCAATCTTTTTGTGGTACCCCGTATATACATACATCATATGCCACGATGTTCATACGCGATCGAACGAATACGAAGAATTATTTATCAAGGAATTATTTTATCTTATGATTACAATGAAATAACAATTAAACATAAAAATAAAAGTTTACTTTTGTATCAAATGAAATATATAAAATATCAAAATTGAACTATGATATCATATTTTTATAAATTTAGAAAAGTATAATAATAGTTTACAAGGAAGCTAATCTCAAGGATTGATAATATCAATTAATTGTTTTGAAGGCAATACAAATATGTAACTACATATATTAAGCCAATATTTAAGGAACATGTAAAGGTTATTATAAGGGAAAATATGAGGTAGCTTGTTCGATGATTTAACAGTAAATATTTAAAAAATTATAGTCTCACCTTCCTACATTTGGTAGATAAAATATAAATATAAACCTCGAAGGACCAGCGATCAATAGGTCGCAAAATTGCGAATTTGCAACAATGTAGTATATAGTAAAATTAAAATAAGCGAAAACTTTTCCTCTTAATTGTTCTTAAAACTAATTAAATGCAATTTATAGAGCAAAAAAGTTTATAGTTTGTTGTATATCCGGCAACCCTGTAATTTGTCGGACCAGCATTTATGAAAAGTTGGAAAAAAACAGTTGTTGTTCTTCTATATGAAATAATAATTTCAGGTACTTGCATATCAGATGCACTAACACTAAATTAAATATAGTTAAATATTTAATAAAATAAGTTATATTTTGAAAACTGCTTCCATTTGAAAAGCGAGAGAAGAACTATTACTTGCTTCAATTTGAGTAGCTAAAAAGGAAGTTTGACTTGCGTGCTTCTATTTAAGAAGGCAAAGACGAAGTGCGTTGAGGATAGTTTGGTTTGAATATTTTGAACCTGAAAAACTGATAGGCGCAGAAGATACAATACAGCAGAAATAAGGCATGTCATGCTCACAATATTTCCATTTATATTTACATTTTTTTCCATTAATTCTCATTACGCTTACGCTTTCTTTCTTGAACTCTATCTCGCCAATTTTCCAAATCATTTGCAAGGTCTTCTTAGTTTGTTACATTTACTTAAGAAGAATATGAAAAAAGAAGAATATGTTAAATTATATATATATATATATATATATATATATATATATATATATATATATGTATATATATATATATATATATATATATATATATCAGTATGTTGGAAATATCGGGTATGTGGTCTATATTAAAAAAAATCTTTATTTTTTCTAAAACTCAATATTTCGCCATTTATTTAACAGCTTCATCAGGAGTAACTGTAAAAAACAAACATTTCAAAAAACAGACGTACACTTAGATTTACAATACTTACAGAAATTAAAAGATTTCACACATAAATAAACTTGACATTAAAATAAACATTTTTGATAATGTATATGCATGTTAAAATATAAATATATTTGAGCACGTTCGTTAACAATAAATGAGATGGAAACAACTAAAAGTTATTCAAAATGCAAAAATTAACAATGTAAGAAAACATTAGAGGAATATTATTTCTTTAATTAATCATTAAGGCTAGTTAGTATGATTAATCATTAATATGAGTGAGTTTTAAATTTTGTTCAATATATTGCAATATATTATGTTGCTTAATTGCCCCGTGTCTGTAGTCTTTATAATTTAAAGTTTGTTTATTTTTGTTGATGTGGTACATCTCCAAAAATAGCCTACTTTTGTAATTGTCAGTCTGTGCCAGAATACGAGCATTGTTATAGTCTAACAGATGACCGGTGTTTTTATAATGCTCGACTACTGCACAACTATTTTTCCCAAATGTTTGTTTTTTACAGTTACTCCTGATGAAGCTGTTAAATAAATGGCGAAATATTGAGTTTTAGAAAAAAACAAAGATTTTTATTTAATATAGACCATATATCCGATATTTCCAACATACTGATAAATTGTAGATATTATGTAGATAAAAAGTCTATAGATATTCACTGATAAGGGGTCATACGATATATTCTCAGACTCACGACAGTGGCCCAAAAATTAACAAAACAAATGTACTGGCTGATTATTCAGTAGAATAAAAGCCAAAAAGAAGAAAAAGAAGAAGAATGTAAACTTACGTACTAGAGTTAAGATTTGACAGTCTAGTAAACTTACGTACTAGATTTTAGATTATATTTTAATTAAAATTCGATATATATATATATATATATATATATATATATATATATATATATATATATATATATGTGTGTGTGTGTGTGTGTGTGTGTGTGTGTGTGTTTGGAAAGATTTCCGCGGTTAGTACAATAAAACCTAGAGGTAAGCTTAATATTATTACGAAAATTAATATCAAACTCACCAGTCTTACGGGTTGAACCGCCATTTTGCCGAGCTTTCGGCATCCTCTCTGATGCCTTCCTCAGGGCTTCCGAGGTCTCAGTCTCCCGAGCTCCCAGACACTACTACACTGTTCACTGATCCCTACGCTATCACTACTACCACTCTCACTAGTAGTAGTGATAGCGTAGTGATTGCTAAATAAGTGTAGTAGCAAAACGATTGCTAAATCTATCCCCTAATCTACCAAAGTGTAATTGCTAAAAAAATTCTAATAATTAACTGCAATTAATCTCCAAAGAAACAAATATTTACACAGCATCTACAATATAAAAACATGCCAACACTGCTATACCGAAATTATTTATTCCATGTTTGACATTTGTGGCTATAATCAGCCATGTACTTTTGGTAAATTTTACCTTTTTTTAATTTCATGTTATTATATTAGGCAATCATCAATACATTCCATCATTTTATTCAGAATTAGGCAACCATATATACATTTATTCCAATCTAGGGATTTCTAGGGACATTTTAGTATTCAATTTAGGGAGGACAAAAATTTTCACCTGGCAACCCTGGTTAGTATGTCAGCACCTATTAAAACAATCACTTAGATATATTCACCACCAAATAGATTAGTATTTTCACAACTCATTTATGCACCTGACTCATTTTTCTCAAAAATGTTACTTAGACCCCTTGTCCTCTAAATGTGTTATATATCTTAAGTAACTTTTAGGGAGATTGTGTGGCTTCTGAAGCATCCAAATCATAAAATAAACCACAATTCAAATGTTGTTAATATCTAACTTCATTGTGACCAAATGCTACCAGTTTTATACAATCTGCACTATGTGTGGTCTAACTTTGAAATACCTACTCTGGCGAATGTATTATATTTTTGCAATATTTTGGAATACTTATGTTTAATTCGTGAAACAATTTTAATATTTATTTTTAATATAAATTTCAGTACTCTACAAATAGTTTATAAATATCAATCTTACGCCATTAATATAATCATAATTATTGTTAATTAATGCAGAACTTAATATAAAATTCATTTACATATTAGGTATTTAAAGTTTTCGATATTTTCTTATTTTTGTTTTAATTGTATTTTTATTTATAGGAAAATGGATATCGAAGAAGTTCAGTCAGTTAGTGTCAGGAAACTTATATCAGCCTTTGAAAATCAAACTAATTCTCCTGAAGCTAAATACTTTAGGCCAAGAACTAGATCCTTGGGCAACATACTAGCAAAAAATGTGACTGTTAGAGAAAACCAATTTGAAACATTGGATGAAATAAGTGATGCATTGGAAGTAATTCAACAACAACTGCAGGTTTACGACACTTACAATAAAGCAAGACACGTCGCATTCCAAGAAGAACTGTTTAACATTCTGACCAGTATTATTAATATCGATAATGATGATCCAATCAGGGCCCGTAATCTTATATCAACTACTAAGCATCTAGTTTCTGTGCTGAACAACAAACTTCCATCTAATAATTCTGTTGAACACCGATATACAAAATATTCTCAGCAGGTCAATGGTACACAACAATCTAATATACTTGTTAAAAATAAAGAAACCTATTCAAAAATATCGAAAACTAATAACCAAAACATCAATCGGGAAAACAGTGTTGAGCTTAATAAAGGCATAGTCAAGTCAACTGGGGATACAAAAGGAATTGGCTTAACTAGGTCTGTTTCAGTTAAAAAACTTAAAGAACTCTTTCAAAGTGACATAAAGCTATCCGAACTTCCAACCTATGAAAATAAATATATGTCCAAGTCAGAACAAACAATTAAAGTGAGTAGTACGTTAAAGAAAAGTTCAACGAGTACGACTGAAGTAACTGTTCGTGAAGTGGTTAATAGGGAAATCAAGAACGAACGCATTTTACCATACCAAGAATACTACCCAGTAGAACCAACCCCTACCGATACAAAATTTCAAGTTTCCGTAGCTAATCTTCGAAATGTGTTCGAGGTAAAGTCAAAAGAAGGATCAACAGGTCTACCGCTGATTCTTAAGGAAGATAAGCCTCCGATTACAAGGTTCAACTACAGATCTAGCGTTGATGAAGAACCTGAGTTAGTTAGTTACACGCCGGATAAACTGGCTTCCGAAGGAAGTAGCAGACTACTGGAACTGCTGAAACGAGACGCTGAAGCGACCAATCAAAATTTTAAATACTCGTTTGAGGTTAGTGAGCAAGATGATGCAGGGGAAGTGACACCGGTAGAGTCTCCTCATAGGGTTGAAGACGATATTATGGCTAATTTGGAGTACGTAGAAGAAAACGATAATGAAGATGACAATGACTCTATATCTGGTGATAGCTTAAATAGTACAGAGAGTGTTAAAACTGTTGAAAGTGTGAATTCAAATAATAATAGTAGTCAAAGGCTCAATAATAATTACATTTTTGAAGACAATGAGGAGGATGACAATGAAGACAATAATTACAATGATCACGGTATTAAAATAGAGGAAATCAATTCTGATGAAACGGAATATTCGGTTGAAAGTGAAGCATGATAAAGCACAAGATTAATAAGACATAATATTTATTAATAAAATTATAAAACATTAAGCAGAACATAAAATATAAAACTTACTATTATTTAAAAAAAAATACATCATAAAAATATTACGATCTAATTATTTTTTGTTATTCCTAAACTTTCAAGTATATTTTTTTAAGAGTAAGTATTATTATGTTCTTTATTCCGGTATTTAAGCCTTATGTTTAAACCCTTTCATGGGCATGAACAAAATTTACTTTATAAGATAAATATTCTCACCAAAGAAAGGAGAAAAGAACTTTGAACGACTAATTTTTTTAAGTTTCTATTTAGGTCCACTTTTTTAAACATTTTTGGATGTGGGAAATATTTTTCCCACCATTTAATAATATTAACTAAATGTTATTTGTTTTTGTTGTTAACATAAATTCTAGTTTAAAAAGAGCTTCTCATCTGGAATAATTATTTACAAATAGCTAATATTATGGTTCATTCGCAACTATAGTCTTAATTTTTGCAGCATCTATCGGATGAGAATAAAACTTTTGTACATTTAATCCAGTTGTTAAAGACCCTAACATATTGATATTTTAGTACAAAATCAACTTTAGAGATGGCAGCCTCAATGTGATTTAGTATTATATAATTTAAAGTTTAAAAGATAAGAATCGATAAGAAATAATATTTATTCTAGTAATGTTCGAATAAAAAAATAGAAAATAATTTTATTGTGGATAGAAGTAAAAAATCTTTATAATTCCACTTAAATATGACTTTAATACCGACCTTTATGGTTAAACTACTTCATATATAATAAGATTATATACAAAAATAATAAATCTCAGAAAGATACATGTTTTTTTAATACTGCTATCTTCTTCTTTGGGTGCCGTCTTCTTAGCGAAGGTTGGCGATGACCTTTGCAAAGTCTTCCTTATTTTGGGCTTTCCTTATTAAACTTTGAAAGTCTAATCCTTTCCAATCTTTGATGTTGTCAACGTCGTAACGAGCTGACTGTTAGCGTCCAAGCTTCCACCCCATGTTATAGTATACTATATACATAACACTTTATCATGCGGTATCGTAGAGACAAATCAAGATTACAGGTAGTGAGCAACTATGAAGGTGTTTTTGCCTGTTCTATTCTACATTTAACCTCTTGTTCTTAGTCTAAGGTTTCATGTATTCAACAGCCTAGATACTTAAACTTTTTCACTTGTTCAACTAGATTGTTGTTGACTAATATGTTTATAACTGGTGTGTGTGTTTTCGAAATTACCATTGTTTTACCATTGTAACAGTATGTTCGCCATTCAACGCTTATTTCTTCTATTGTGGTCAGGACTCTATCATCCGTGCTTGTTATTGTGTCACACTGTCTAGCGTTTCTGATACCACACATTTCTTTAATTTTCTTATGAAGAAGTCTATCATCATGTTTATTCTGTAGGTCTTTTATCTCTTCGCAAGTTTTTACAAGCCACTGTGTTTTTGCTTCCACTATCTTTTTATTATTAGTCTTTATATTTCTTTATATTTATTCCAGTCTTTGTTCTTGTGTTGTCGTCTCACATTCATCATTTCTAATATTTCATTAGTTATCCATAGTTTCTTGCCTCTTCGATTTGTGTATTTAAGGTGGTCTTCAGCTTTTAGAAATACAGTCTTAAGTTCTTTCCATATTTGGTTTAAGTCGTCGGATTCTTCTGGTACATCATGTTCCTTTTGTCTGTTTTTAAGTTCTCGACATTCGTGTTTAAGTTCTTGTGATATCTTCTGTCTCGTTTCTATATCCTTGAGTAAACTTATATCTGATTTCTGTTCTATCTTCTTTCTTTTTATGCTTTTCAGCGTGTTTTTGAATTTGGCGACGAGTGTTACAAAAACTTACAACAGGACCTATGGGACAACTGTGTTTATGGATTTTAGGAGGTCCATATAACCTAGGTGTTATAGGATTAGATACAGTTAACTTTCTGTTGTTTTATTTAGTAATAATATCATTAAATAATTTAACCATTGCTTTTGTTTTATTAATAAAGGTGTTAATTGGATTTTTTTTCAAGACTGCAAAACTGTTATCTGAAAGGAAAGATTCTACTTTCTATACATTACTATGGAAAATGTTCTCAAAAAACGCAAAAAACGAAGAAAACTCGAATCGAATTTTTTTTTTTTTCATTATTATGTACAATGTTGAGATTTTTATTAAAATTAACACTGTAAATACTCATGTTGCGTAAGATTTCATGGTACATTGGCAAATAAAAAAATTGTAAATTGAAATATTCTACTATAATTAACAAACAATTAAGTTAATAATGTTTATATTTGATAAGACATCTACAATATTCTAAGAAAGTTGTAGAATTTTCTGATGCTGAGGATGCTGAAGCTGATATAATTAAAACTTCGATAGAAATTGCCAGAGATACAAGTAAAACTGTCATTGTTGTGGGTCAAGATATTGACCTTTTGGTACTTTTGATTTAATTAAATGAAAATAATAATGACATTTATTTTCTTAAATCAGGTTCTGGTTTTATAGTTCAATAGTTTCAAATATGAATCTTGCAACAATATCATTGCATATCTGCATTGTTTTTCAGGTTGCGATACAACATCTGAATTTGCCGGGAAGGAAAGAAAAGTATTGTAAATTCATTATTAGACGCTAAAAATTTGTCAAGTTTGGCTAACATTTTTTTAAAATTAATTACAATTAATCAAATCTATTTATAAGTGCAAAAATGATAAGCTAACGCTGAATCAATTACGATTTCAAATATCAATTGGCAAATATCAAATCATCTTTTCTATTAGCAAATCTCCCACCCACAGAAGGTGCAGCAGAACAACATTGTTACAGGTCATATTATCAGCTTCAAACATGGCTAGGCAACGAACTGACAGCAACAGATTGGGGTTGGAAACAACATCAACGAGGCATTATGCCCAAATTTACAGAAAAGGAATTGATCCAGGAAATACTGCTCAAAACTATTTGCTGCAACTGTAAAACTTATGTGGAGGAAAAAGCCTTCGAAGAAATTAATATTAATGGTTCTGATGAAATTGTGGATAAGGAAGTAACGCAGACAGGAAACAATATTGGAGATGAAGACGGTGATGGCTTTGAAGATTTCGAAGATCTTCTAGAATCAGAAGGCGACGAAGGAATGCCATCAAAGAGGCAAAAATTAATGCCCTAAAAAATATTATGATAAATGTATACATCATAAATATACATATATATATGTATATATATATATATATATATATATATATATATATATATATATATATATATATATTGTAAGATTGCTCATGACAAAAATGTAATTAAACATTAATAAACCAGCTTTTTGAGTGTAAAAAAATCGTATAGTAGTCACATTTTTTGATGAAATTCCCTTTAAATCCTATCTTGAATATTTTTAACAGCTATTTTCACATTCTTTTTGCAATTTTAATGTTTTATGGATTTATATTTTTTTGTTTATCAATGTATCATGAAATCTTAAGCTACATGACTAATTACAGTATTAATTATAAGAAATATCTCAAAATTGTACATATTGATGAAAAAAAAATTTCGATTTGGGTTTTTTTTGTTTTTTGTGTTTTTTGAAAACATTTGCTATAGTAATGTATATTATTTTACACTATCGGAAAGAAGATATTTCAACAAATAAAAAGCACACCGACTATTTTAAAAAAGCTGATATTTTGTCGTGTGAATTTTCGATTAAAAATTAGGGTGCTTTTTCGATATTAAATCAATAAATTCAGGTAAAAGAATAATTTTTTTAATTCCAAAAAATTACTGTGTATTTAGTACATACTAAGGCAAGTTTTCACCAAATTTCGTTAAAAAAATTTTTTTTGTTAAAGATAAAAATAAAAAACCAAAAACTTGGTTTTTTGAATTTTTCACAAAAATTTTAAGGTTATGTGAAAAAAGTGTAAACACAAAAGTTGTAGATCTTTTTGTTACCTACAACTTTGCTATTTAACTTTTTTCCATAACACTTGTAGTTTCGCCGAAAATCGCGATAAACCGATTTTTATCCTTAAAAAACACACCCCCTCCCACTTCCCGACCTCTGATGGAGTGGAATTTATTTTTTCTTTCATTTTTAGCATATTCTCCTCCTTTTGCAATAGGTTTTATTCTACTATAATTTTTTTTGTTTCAAAAATTACCGACCCTGGTCTAAATGTGATTTGGCGACAGGAGAAATATTGTAACAATAGTTAAAATAATTAATATCATAAACGCATCATTTAGACTGAAATATGTTCTAAGATAATAAAAAGTAGCTGAGATCATAATGATAGCAAAGCAAGGAAACCAGAGAATAAATCTTTCAAATCCTCTCCTCCCTGTAATGTCGAAATTGTTTAAAAAGCTTTTAAAAATCAACTGTTTTTTATTTTACTTTCTGTAAATAATGCATCCAGCACTTCTTTCTCTTTTTTGGTTTTCTTCTATAACTGCAAATGCTTTGCAAACTTATTTACTTTAAAGTTTAATATTGTTAATAGTTTCCAGTTTTGTTTTTCTTCTTTTTTGTAAATATTGATATTATATTATTCTTTGAAATGTCATCATGAATCGAAGCATTTAACCTTTGATTTTAATTACTTCCATAATAGATTTTATATATATATGAATTTTACAATTTGCAAATAAAAAATTAATGCCAATCAAAACACTTTCGTTTTGACAGTTAATTCAAATACTTTCAAACATATTTTGGCGTCTTTTAGAAGCCGTATTTTAAATATTCCGGGCGTTACAATATCCTCAGTGCGCGTCGCAAGAAATCCCATGGGGCAAGCGCACACGTTTCTATTCGTGACCGCCGCCTTTGGCGGAATCGATCGGACCCTAGATGGCGCTGTAGTCGGGGGCAGATCGCAGGGTTGCTGCTTGTAAGGGTCTCAGATCGTCTCGAAAAGATATTTGGCCAGAGAATGGAGAAAAACTGGAGGGCAAGAAATGGAGCAAAACAGACTGGTTCAGTTTAGTGATTTTGTGACAGTGAATTGGGCCTGGGCCGGCAAAGAGGCGGCCGAAGAAAAGAAATGCCGTGATGGCAAGGGAGGTAAGTACAACTGTTTTCTTAACTGTTCTCGATATTCCAATTAAACGATAATAATTAAAACTGACCCAACGTATTAATTCTTTAGTTTAGTGTCAGAAAATATGCAAAAAGAGTTGTGGAAAGGTTTAACAAATCAATTGCAAAATGAAATATAAGCTATGTTGCCACCTTCTGAGATTTGTAAGGGCTGTATAGATTTTTTGTTTTTGAGATAAATTTTGAGTGGGCGATCCTCAGGCCCTGGGAAAAGGTTATATGTTGAAACTGAAGACTACGCCCCTCTTTTTATATAAAATTAGATTGTCTTTTACCTAAAGGGATTAAGAAATATTTGTATGTCTTCGTCTAGCCGGTCTATCTTTTAATTGGTGGAGGAAAATGCCTTTGAATGTATTACAACTTATTCGCTAATTGCGCCGGCTAAAAAGTAGGGTTAAATTTTGTTATTTTCATGATCTAAATATTTTTAAATGCTTTTAATACAATTTTTATTAAAAATCGAACTAAATAATAATTGAAATCTCTTTCAGTGTCGCAATCATAACCTTAGGATGACACTTTTGGTATATGTGCCGGTATATATGCAAAATAGGAAGATTTATTTCCCTAAGATTTTAGGGGGTTTTCCAAGGCGGATAAAAGCAGATGCAATTTTTGATTATAAATTAGCTGATAAAAATCCATGAATAAAAATCACACACTCATGTACTTTATACATTGATCTTGAAAAAGCATATGATAGAGTTCCTCGATAGATTCTGGCGCTTAATAAGGAGTTTTTTTGTAAATATATATATATATATATATATATATATATATATATATATATATATAAAGCTTTAAGGAGTTTCTTATACCATACTATATTTAATATAAAATTAGTATTTCTGGGTATTATGTTCACCAAGTAATATTAAATTTGGAACTAGATTTTATTGTCCATTAAAATCAACGTTTCGACAGGAAACCCTTGCCTTTTTCAAGATTCCAAAATGTACAAGATTAGGAACAAAAAGTTATTGTAAAATATATAAAAAACTTATCAAAAAGTAAAATGAGACACTGACAATAATGAATTGACAAGTAAATTTGATACCTAATATCTCATGATTTCTGTCATTAATGTATTATTGTTTTTATATGGGCGTATCGTTGGTGTATTCGAAAAAGGTAAAGTGATGATATGTTATCACTTTAAGAGTTTTTCATGATGTTATATTTATTATTATATAATGGACAGAAAACGATAGCGGTCGAAATGCGAGAAACGGCAGAGGCTGTAGGAACCTCGCTTATATATATATATATATATATTATATATATATATATATATATATATATATATATATATATATATATATATTTATTATTATTTAAATCAGAGATTGAAATATATTTTATTTAGGTTCTATGTGTCTTTTGTGTGGTTAGTAAACAAGACCTCAGCGCTATAGAACTAATTGTCAATAATGAACCGATAACAAAAGTTTACCATTTTAAATATCTAGGATGTTGGATAAACGAGACACTAAATGTAAATGAAGCAATTTAAAACTCGTATAGAAATTGCAAGAGAAGCATTTATGAAACTTGGATCTATGCTGAGCAATTCTCAACTGAGAATTAAGTTCCTAAAATGTTATGTGTATCCTGTATTACTGTATGGATGTGAAACCTGGATTATGAAGGTTAAGAAGAAGAAGAAGAAGTATCTTTTTTGTCATTGATTTCGTTGGAAATATATTTTATTAATTATGGAATCTAATGATTACGACAATAAAATGAATCATCTTTTAAAAGACAAAACCATATATCATAAACTTAGAAATGATCTTACAAATATTTTCCAAAAAAGAAATAATGATCTTACTGACAATTGGGACAAAAATGGTTATATATTACCAAATACAGCAAAATCACTTTTATACAACGCTATTTCACCAAAAATTGATGGTTTACCTAAAATACACAAGGAGAATGTACCTCTATATATATAGTCCCAAAATTCCTAAGAGGAACATAGGGCTTCCACAAAGTGTCTCCAGCGAACTCTATTTCTGGCTAGTCCTTTGATTTCAAGCCAGGATTTTTTCATTTTTCTCCCTTCGTCCAGTACTGTCCTTCTCCAAGTTCCCTTAGGTCTGCCTACTTTCCGTCGGCCTTGGGGATTCCAATCCAGCGCTGTCCTGGCAATGTCATTTGGCGGTCTACGGAGTGTGTGGCCCAGCCATCTCCATTTTCTTCGCCTTATTTGCTTTATGACATTTTCTTGGTTGCTTTGGTTCCATAAATTTTCATTGGAGATTCGGTTAGGCCAAAATATACGAAGGATTTTTCGTAACGCTCTATTGATGAAAACTTGTAATTGGTGTACTATGGGTGCTGATATCTTCCACGTTTAGCAGCCATACAGTAATACAGCTTTTACATTTGTGTTGAAGATTTTTAATTTCGTTTTAGTTGGGTAAATCCTGGATTTCCATATGTTGTTAAGCATGTTGTAGGCGTTGCGAGCCTTATTTATTCTTTCATGTACATCACGCTCTGTACTCCCATTACAGTCAATTATGCTGCCCAGATATACAAATTCCGCTACTCTCTCAATTTTCTGGTCGTTGATTATAATAGGTTAGTTATTTCTGATACCAAATCGCATTTCTTTGGTTTTGTTGATGTTTATTTCTACCAACCTTCTTTAATTCTTCTTGTACTTTGTTTACTTGGAGTTGCATGTCCTGTTTTGTATGTGCTAGGAGGCATATATCATCAGCGTAATCTAGGTCTTCCAGTCTGTTTGTTAATCCCCAGTAAATTCCTCTATTAGAGTTTACCTTTGTTAGTACGGAGTCCAGTACAATGTTAAATAGTATGGGGGATAAAACACAGCCCTGCTTTACTCCGTTTAGCATAGCTATTGGGTCAGATGTTATGCCGTTGTGTAGGATTTTGCTTTCTGTGTCACTGTAGAGTTCTTTGATGAGATTTACTATTTTTTCTGGTATTCCCATTTCCTGCAGTGCTTTCCATATGGCCGTATGTGTGAGCGTTTCAAAAGCTCTCTTGAAGTCCACAAAGCACACAAAGAGAGGAGAGTTGAATTCCTGTGACTGTTCTACAATTATTCTTAGTGTGTTAATTTGGTCCACGCATGATCTGTTTGGTCTGAAACCGGCTTGTTCCTTCCTCAACATTGGTTCTTCACTGTTTGTTAGTCGGTTGTTTATAATTATTGCTGTTAATTTATTTATAGTGTTCAGAATTGTGATTCCTCTCCAGTTTTCGCAATATCTTCTGTCACCCTTTTTTGGGATCTTTATTATTAATCCCGTTTTCCATTCTTTGGGGAACTTTTCCTCTCTCCAAGCCCTTTTCAAGAGTGGTTGGATTAGCTCTACGTCCGTAGAGCTAATCCGAGAGATAGGACGTAGAGGTACGAGAATGTACCTCTACGTCCTATCTTTTTCTGCATTTAATCATACTTCGAGAATCTTTAAAAGTTCTTAAAAAACATTATTTCTAATGTTACAAATCTTCTTTTTCTTCTAGTGCCGTCTCCACTAATGAAAGTTGGCCATAACCATTGGAAATTCGTCTCTATCTTCTGCTTTTCTTAAGAGTGTCTCTGTGTTTAACCCGGTCCAGTCGCGAATGTTTTTCAGCCAGGATATTTGTAGTCTACCAGGACCCCTTTTCCTTTGATTTTACCCTTCATAATCAGCTGCAACAACTCAAACTTATCATTTCTAAGAATGTGTCCCAAATATGCTATCTTTTGCCTTTTAATGGTGGTCAAAAGTTCTCTGTCTCTTCCCCTTTTTTGCAACACCATTTCGTTCGTAATATGATCTGTCCAATGTATCTTCAAAATTCTCCTAAAAAGCCACATCTCAAAAGCTTCCAGTTTTCTCATTTGGTCAATATTAACAGTCCAGGCTTCGATACCATAAGGAAGAATTGGATATAATATTTTACCATCTGACATCGGATTTGCAGATTGACCCTTTGGTTACTCAAAAATTTCCTCGTCTTCAAAAAGACTGCTCATGTTTGCGCTATTCTTGAGCAAATTTCCGATTTTGGATTCAGATCTTCCGTAATCTAGACTCCTAAGTATTTCATTTTCTCCACTTGCCCAATATCTTCATTTTTTATCTGGATCCTTGTAATGACCTTGCCCCTCTTACTGATAACCATGGTTTTTGTTTTCTTTATCTTTATTGTTAAACCAAACTGTTCCCCAGTATCACAAATTGTGTTTAGTAACGTCTTTCTTTATTTCTTAATTGATACAAGTTGAAGCCTCAGCGCACGCATTTCATTTATCTTGAGTAACTGAGTATTCACCTTAGAACTTTTGGATTTTATTATATTTTTTATCCACGGTTTCGTTTTTGAGACAAGGAGGTTATGGTCTGAGGTCACAAATAAAAATCTTCATTATATTAAAGATTCCAATGACCTTATTTCTAAAATTAAATTAAATTAAATTCACATTACTAATGAGGGTGTTCTGTTGAGAATGAAAAACGAAAAAGAGCTGTTAACCACAACAAAAACAGCCAAAATCGAATACCTCGGTCACATCATGAGGAACAGCGAAAGATATGGACTGCTGCAACTAATCTTGCAGGGAAAAGTAGAAGAAAAACGGGGACCAGGAAGACGAAGGATTTCCTGGCTGAAAAATCTACGAACGTGGGTCAACACAATAACCACAAATCTTTTTAGAGCAGCAGTGTGCAAAGTGCAGATTGCCATGATGGTCGCCAACATCCGAAACGGATAGGCACTACAAGAAGAAGAAATTCACGTACTAAATAACTATAAATTAATATTTTTAGATGTCTTTTCGCTATACACTAACATTCCAATAACTTGCTACTGACATGATTAAAAAGAAGTGGAGTGACATAAAAGAGTTCACTAACATCCCATTGCAAGAATTTCAATCATCTGTAGAGTTAACATTAAGATAACTTCAAGAAAATTTACTTCAAAAA